GTATGTACAACATTTCGTATTAAATACGATCTAATATTTTAAATAAAATTAGCCGTCAGAGCTAATACTACTCATTCGGTTATTGTCAACGGTAGAGCAGCAGCGCCTACATATTTTTACTGTCTAATTGTATTGTTCGCATTCTCTAGAAATGCCTGTTAAAATTAAGTATATGTGTCCTAAATGTAAAGGGGAAACCGATGAATTCAACTCAAATTGCATTCCGTGCACTTTTACCAAATATAAGAATATGGAGGGTTATAAACACTGTCCGGCAAACTATTTTATTCGAAAGGGACCCGCAACTAATGAGAATTAGTACCTAATGTTATTTAGTATTTTTTCATGTATTAGTAATAATAATAATTAATAAAAATAAAAAAATGAAATAGACTTTTTTGGTTTGTTGTGAAACTTCAAGGGTGATGAATAGAGTAAATAATAAAAGCATATAATTTAATCGCCTTTTTTTTTATTTATTCCACTAATTGGTACGAATACCTATCTGCACGCTTACACATATGAATATATCAATAATAAAGCGCTATATGTATGTATGTTAGTGTGTAAATACTGCGTTTCACCATCACAAGCTTACTGCACATTAAACGATAATATTTTAATATGTAACATTCATAAGCGATAAGGTAAAAGGAAGTGAGTGTCATCAAACACAATCGGTTACTTGTTAATGTGTTATACGAGAGAAGATTAAAAAGTGTTGGTTACATGGTTACTATGATCATCGATAAATTGCTTATTTAGCACACTTTTATAACTATAAATACTAGAATTAGCGAATAAAAAATCAATCATTCTCTACTTACCATCATGGAAGAAAATCAAGAACACCATTTCATAGTGAGTTAGCTGTTATCTCATTTGATTGTTTATGATTCTAATATTTTTCCCTAAATTATTCATTTTAGACTAATTTCGGGATAATGACGGCCTGTCAAACCCTGCCGCAACAACCTAAACCACCATTTGTAATTTTGGGGTGCTTTAATAGGAGCGTATATTATGCCCTGGGATTAATTGATTTCACAATAATTTGGAAGATCCCTCATCACCTTCCTCCACACCCTGTTTCAAATGTAAGTCAAACAATTGTTATAAAGTTAAAGTTGAAGTTCCGAAAACAAGAGCATGATACGTATGCGAGTATCGAGTTGTTTGCAAAACAATTAAATGTAACCAACGAAAAATAAAATTAGGATTAAATAAATACCTTATTATTGCTTGCCTTACTATTCATAAATTAATTCTTTTGCAGATTCCTGAAACCAAACGGAAGCCACGACCGGGTCCTTCCCGTAGAATATAATCTTCGACGTAGTATTTTTTATTTAGTAGTAATATGTAGTAGTAGTAGCAGCAGTAGTAGTTTATAATGTTTAGTAGTAGTAGCACTACTAGTATTATAAAAATAAAAAAACTGATTTCAAATGGAGTTGTTTTAATATTTTTTAAAGTTTTCCCTGCATTAAATACGCTTACACATATAAATAGCTCAATAATAAAGCACCGTATGCATGTAAGATAGTGTGTAAATAGTGCGTTTCACAAACGCAAATCTACTGCACATTAAACGATAAGTTTTTATTATGTAACATTCAAGGTCAAGTGCAACAAATATTATTAATTACATTCATTAACTAGAGGTAAACGAAACAACAAAAGCCGCTCATTATAACAACTTTCATGGTACATTTGCATACACCTATACGCACATACATAGCTAATACACACTTGGAAGCGCAAACAGACACACACACAAATCCTATCGTTTGTTATTATTAATAACGCTTACATACTTACATACATACATGCATAAATACATACATACAAGCATGCATACATACATATACGCAAACATTTGCACGCTCGGCGTATTGTAGTGGGCGTTAACAAAAACAAAAAAACCGTAAACAATAAAAAACAATGGACGCTGTCACGCCCATCCAGTCATTAACAAAATGGACGATGAAACATCATTACAAAATATTCCGTAAATGGCAATACGGGGGAACAGGGGGGGGACGATTGCAAGTCCGAATGCGTTAACAAAATGGAGGATAACAACAAAAACCACCCACATGACACAAGAGGGGGACGGGACCGACCAATCAGAGGACAAAATCTAACGAGCGGAAGTGCCGTAAGAAAAGCATTGGGAGATAAGGAGATTTGCCCCTAGAAATCCTACTGAGAACAATTGCAAAAATCTTAAAAATGCAATTGCAGCATAACACTGGAAACCCTGCTGTTAAAAGTAGTACAAAGCAATAACTTGCAAAAGGATTGCCTTCCTTCTCCTGTTCGCAATATGCTCATTATAAAAAATAAATAATACAAAAACGTCTATATCAAATAAATTGTATCCTGTATAACCACCTTCCCGTCTTTTAATTGCCTATACAGGAACCCCCTTTTTGGGTAAACCTGTAACAAAAACAGTAATTTTAGTAATCTAAATTGAACTTCAGGAAATGATAAACTAAACTGTAATTGATTTCTCAGTACTTTATACTAATGGGAGTAACTAAAAGTTTTTTTTGAAACAATACAGATATACGCTAAGAAGTAGTCCAATCGTAAATTCATTAAGAGTAGAATTTTTCAATTACCTTACTATACTGGAAAAAGAAAATCCTGAATTATTTTCTGTTTCTGGACCATCAAGAAAAAGAAAAAGAGAAACAAACTTGGAGCAGACTGAAGCATTTAAAAGAACAAAGCGTTAAGTATATTTTTGTAGCCAGGATGGGATGACCTGGGTCTAGCGGTTGTACTCTTGATAGTGGCTGCCTAGCCGAAACAATTGTCAAGCTTAATTAAATATATATCTGTTGAAATTATATGGCTTGTTAAAATTATGCGATTATGGAATGGATTTGTAGTAAGGTAAAATATTTTTTATTTGACATTTTTTAAATTTATTTTTGTTGTTTCCTTAGCATACGAAATTTACAATGAGGTATTGTAAGGGTAATTAGAACGTGGTGTTAGGCAAAATCCCTGGCTGTTAATCCAGATAAAACAGAGATTGTATGTTTCACGAGGAAGTACAAAAGGAAAGAGATAAAGGAAATAATCTTCTGTGGGCAAAAGATACCGTATGCAGAAGGAGTTAACTATCTAGGTGTACACATAGATAAGAAATTAAATTGTAATAATCACCTGATGCTGCAAAGTAGAAAGGTGATTAATATATTTATGCAGTGTAGGTCCGCGATTGGAACAGGCTGGGGGCTTGAACCCCAAAAGACTCTATGGATATATGAGGCTATACTGAGGCCAAAATTGACCTATGCTGCAACGATATGGTGGAAAGTAACCACCGAAAAAAAGACCTCAAAGGCGATCCTAGATCACATACAGGCAGTTGTCCCGAGAGGGTCTTTCGTGCTAAAAAGAAGCACACTTATAGCTGCGGTCAGAATGATGCTGGGTTTGAAAGGACTGGACCTGGACATCAGGGAACAAGCCGCAAGAACAGCATACAGACTGATCGGTAACGTGAAATGGCGGAGAGAAGGAAAGGGACATCGAACCATCCTGAATCTCATACCAAGAAACATACTTGTGATACCGTAAGATAGGATGAACAGGCGAATCCAGTTTGGCGGAAACTTTAAAACAAGGATACCAAACAGGGAGGAGTGGAAGGATAGCAAGGCACTGGGACACGGAGAAATTTGGTTCACAGATGGATCCAAAACAGTCAAAGGAACAGGATGCGGGATACAAGGTCCTCACAACAAGGAGGGGCTGTCCCGTAACCTAAGAGAGTATAACACGGTATTTCAGGCAGAAATGGCTGCAATAGGTAAGTGTGCGGAAAAGCTTATAGAGGATAGCGTCGAAGGCAGAGACTTACAAATCTGCACTGATAGTCAAGCCTCTATAATGGCACTGGAGAAGCCAATAACTACCTCCAAGCTGGTTCAAAGGGTGAAAGATACCTTAAATGAACTAGGAACGAGGAATAGAGTAACTATTACCTGGATACCTGGTCACTCGGGATACAAGGGTAACGAAAAAGCTGACAAACATGTAAAGCAGGGAGCAGATATGGAAGAACAACCGGACGGGGAGGTAGGAATACAATACCAATAAGGAAATAACGCTATTAATAGAATCATGGGAAAGCAAAAAATGGAACACCTGGGCAGCAACTCTGGGCCACAGATGGTTCAAGGAGTTGCTCAGGAAATACATAAATAGCTGGAACATGGAGCTAAGGAACATGAAGAGGAACGAGGTGCGTCTTATCCTAGGATTGTTTACTGGGCACAGCGAACTTAGGTGCTACACCCACAAAACACAGGGAAGAAGTTATCTATGTAGATTGTGAGAAAGCGAGGAAGAAACCCCGAGACACGTAATCTACGAATGCCCAGCATTAATGGAGAAACGACAGAAATGTCTGGCGACTAGATTAATAGATAGAGAACTTTTTAAGGAGTTATGCAGGAACCTGGAGATGCTGCTGTGTGTTGGCAGGGCAGCTGGTCAGTACTTTACAATGAAGTTATCAACTGTGAGTCTTAAACCGTTACAGGTATATCCAGTAAAAAAAGCCAACAGCTGGACAGTAACACAACTGATATACAAATATCTACAGCAACTACATGGGGAGCAACGTGGCATTTTTAAAGATCAATGTATGGAGGCGAAGCCATGTGCCCCCACTACTTCAGAATCCGTTGCAAAGCTGTCCGCTGAATAACAACACCAAGTAAGAGAGTACTTAAAAAAAATTCACAAGCCAAATCATCGCATGCATTGGCTGCAGATATTTACGCTGCTGTAAGTGACAGCTCAGTACTTTACATTTATGGGGTTAACTTACAAGTTCGGTAAAAACGGGAATGACGATGCTCCTTGGGATACAAACTTAAATGCAATATTTGCACTTTCACCTTTGCACTTTTACCAACTTTACAGATTTACGCTAAGGAGAAGTCCAACAAAAATGTTATTAAGAGCAGAATATTCGCCTACCTTAATATTCTACAAAAGGAACATCCAGAGTTTTTCATGTTCCTGAAACAAAAAAACGTAAAATAAAAACTAATTTGGAGCTTCTCTTGGAGCAGGAATCAACGTACAAAAAAACAAAACGTTGAACTGCCTATTGGATGACGTTTGGTCTGTTTCTTGTTTACTTCAAAATTTCTCATTTTATCGTGTAGTTTCAAGTTACTGCGCATTGCCTATTAGAGATGGGATGTTCACTTCAGTCGTAGATGGGTTCCACACTGTTTTTTTGCTCTATAGTTGATAAATGCAGTGTTTGTTCTCTAGTTGGTTTTGCGCAGTACCTTGCTTAAACATACAGTTGAATACCTTAATTTGCATGAGATTTGTAGATGATCAACACGAGTTTCTGCGCCATCTCTGGACCGTTGTATGTAGAAAAAAAGGCGCGGAATTTAAAAAGGTCTAAGTTTTGTTGTTAATTCTCGAGTTTTTTAATGATAAAGTAAAAACAACAACTGACCTTTTGAAGCGTTGTCCATGCAAAGAGTATTAGGAAAACGTTTGTAGATATCAAGAAATATGCTAAAGATGGAAAATTGAATTGAATTTGAAGTGGAAATGTCGGTGAAGATGAAAAAGCTATTAGGAAACTATCAGCCAACAAAACTTCTTGCTTCTATGTAACAACGCGGTCGGTTGTGGCTCTGAATTCAAAAATTGTGGTTCGGTTTCTTCACATTCGCCTTGAAGATAACTGTTTCAAAAATCAACATTCGACTCTCTGAAATGGCATGTGAAAATAAGGAGAACAATTGCAAACATCTCAAAAATGTAGTACAAAGCAATAACTTGCAAAAGGATTGCCTTCCTTCTCCTGTTCGCAATATGCTCATTATATCCAAATGATATATTCAACCAAAAAATTGTATGTTCCCTACTGTAATACAAAAACATCTATATCAAGTAAATTTAATTTACTAAGCAGGGTGTTAGAAAATAGGGAAAAATAATGTAAACAATAAATTAATATATACAGTTGAACCTATATAAGCGAGAGTTGAAGAGATCGCGATCTTTTTTTCGCTAATGGAGGTTTCTCAGTAACCCGAGTTTCTAGCTCATACAGTGGCCTTTCGCAGTTACACAGGTTTATAGTATTGTTTATTTGATTTTTAGAATTTTTCGTCTCAATTAATACTTACCAACTATAGACAGCTCGGCAATTAGTCCATCCACAGGAATATTTGGCCATTAAATACATGGACTATTTATACCATTATTTTATTATTATATTTATAGACCATACCTTATTTGGAATCATTCAATGGTAGGAATATTATCAGTGCTTATGAAAAAACTGGAATATAGCCTTTTAATAAGTTGATTTTCAATGATGATTTTGTGCCGGTTCAGGTGTATCATTCAAATCCTGTAATAAATCCCAGTGAAAGCAAAGGTGGTGATGAGCTTGCAATAGGTGATGAAAAGCTTGTTACAATGGGTGCTGAACTTGGTTATGTTTCTGCTCGAACACCTCCGACTTTGTCCAGAAATGTCTCGCCTTCATTGCTTTTACAACATCTTGCATCAACAGCGATAGATCTTGATAACCCTGCACCATCTACTTCAAAGTGTTGAACACGCCAGAAATGATAAGGCCCTTTCCGAAAGTTCAAAGACGCACACAAACGAGAAAAAGCTCGATCACTTGTGAAATCGAGAATTTACACCGACGCGCCCGAGAAGAATAGAATTGAAGAATTGGAAAAAATCAAAGAGATGAGATTAAAAAAAGAACGAAAATGTAAAGCAAGGGAAATAAAGAGAGCCTTTAGTTCATTAAATGAAGATTATATTAAATCAAGTAAAACAAAAAGGAATAAAACCAAAAAGATTGAAATAATTCGTAGTGACAGTGAAACCGATATCAATCTAAAAAAAAGTTCTGCTTCATCTTTTGACGTGCCGTACATTAATATTATTGTTGTGAAGATAATTCTTTTCAAGTTAATTAGTTTTTAAAATTTAAGATAAAATAATTTCCCAATCAGGGTTCGAAGGGCTCTTCATCAAGCAAGATGAATGGCAAAAGCCATATATGCATTGAAATTTGTTTTATTCACCCAACGATTATTGAATTTTGCTAGTACTGCCAAAAACTAACTGAATGGTATGAAACAAAGAACGATTTGGACATGATACAGGTTTAGGATTCTTATACTGATATTATTATCGAAATATTGCAGCACTAGTCACAGACTTGGTAAACGGTCTCAAGGTGGTCAATAATACTGTAGAAAGGGGCATAGCTTTAACCCATAAGGGACTGACGTTGCCATATGGAAACTCTAAACACTGTCAATGAAATTACAACCTGTTTTATGTAATCTATAATACTTCGGTTGAATAGTGGCAGGAGGTTAATATTGATGTGTTGCTAATGTATGAAATGCCTGGCGATCGCTTTAAAGTGATACTCATAGCTTTTTATTAGTTTCAAAGTGAAATAATTTTTGTCAGCTATGGATATAAACTTAGTGTAAGTAGTAAAATTTTCCTTATTGCTAACTTTTTGATTTAAAACCACAATATATTTGTCCTCAAATAAATACTTGTATCATTGATGCTGATTACTAATTTTTTCTGTGTATGGTGTTTCATTTATATTAATTTAATTAATATTTAATTCGACTGTTGCCATTTGGCAACGCTAGTACCTCATGGGGTCAATTATGAAAATATGTAGCGGTAAAATATAACTTTTTACAGAAAGCAACCGTTTTGCTTCGCATCGACAAAAACCAGCGAAAGCTAAAGGTCCAACCGTAACGGTATTTTATTTTATGATTTTATGAAACGGACCAAGGTTGGGATGCCTGCGAAAGCTTTTATACTAAAAAAAAATAGATATTCGGTCTTAATCTTTCAGCTCGATTGGTTGTGATTTTTGGTAGATGTTTTTCCATACTATTAAACCGTTGAAAACCGAATTGAGTTTTATTTATTATAATACACATAACCACTATCAATTGGTTACCCCGACGTGATCTAAAACCCGATTACGGAAAATACCAACTGAATTCAATCGCGAGTGCAGTAAATAGTGCCGAGTGTATTCTCAATAAAGTCTCGCTGCAGTCTTCCCGCCAAAAATGTCCCTCCCTGTAAATTCAGACGGTAGTGCCAGCCTGGACACCGAAACCGAAAACATTAACGCAGTGAGCCATCAAAATCTAAAAATTCCACAATTTTGGCCTCAAAAAATTGCCTTATGGTTTAGATTTTTGGAAGCACAGTTCGCTACAGCCCGTATTAACAAGGATGCAGTAAAATTCAACATTACTATCGCTAACTTAGAGGAACAGTACATCGAACAGGTAGAAGACGTAATAATTAATCCACCGACAGAAAATTCATACGAACTTTTAAAAAACGTGCTAGTGAAGAGACTGACCGAGTCCGATAGTTCGCGAGTGCGGAAATTGCTGGAAAGTGAGGAAATCGACGATAGAACGGCATCTTAGTTTTTTAGAGACCTAAAAAGGTAGCAACACCTTCCATTCCCAATGAATTCATTCTTACTCTATGGAAAAATCGTTTGCCAGCCGATATTTAACGAGTTTTAGCTGCCACCACTGAAACCAGCATCACATCGCTCACCGAAATGGCCGACCGAATTCAGGAAATTCGGCCAGATCATGGACGAATCGCGGCAGTGGCCAAAGACAATGAAGTTTGTGAGTTACGTGAAGAAATAAAACAGTTACGGCTTCGAATAAATAAACTTGCAAGCAACCGACGACGTTCTGTTTCCCGCTCGCGAGTTAAAAGTAGAAACCGAGAAAAAAGTTCAACAAAATCCCCTAAAACAGATGGGCTATGCTGGTACCACCAAACATTACTACTACTCGTCCATCCCCGCAATAAACTTTTGGTTGACTCAATAACCACTTTATCAACCAATGGTTTCCCGGATGAAACAAACGTAGTGACAATAAAAAAAATAGTTGATGAATCTGTGTATTGTGTATTTCTGGCGAGAAACTCTTTAACATGGTGTACAACATCATATCAAGACGACACCCGGCCCACCTGTACATAGTAAACCTAGACGCCTTGCTCCCGATCGGTTA